TAAGATAAAGACTCAATCACATTAGAATAATATATTAGTTTCTGTCAATATAATCTGTCAAGATTAGTTTCTTTTATCTTTATGAAATACTTTTACATTTTGAGTTGGTTTGTCAAGCCATGAATAAAAATATACTCTATTATTACATGATAGTGACAGGACTCATTTTCTCTCCACTGACCATTAAGATAAATTCAAAATCTTTTCCATTACCTTTGAAGCTACATTTCAATGAGGAAAAAGAGATATGAAAAACATTCATGAGTTGAGTTTCAACACAAGCTATTAAGAATATATGACAACTAGATATAGGGTTCCATATTTTCTTTCTTTTAACTAAAGCAAATAACATGTTATGTGGAATTCTTCAACTTGTATTTTTTTCATTTTACTTTATATCTTTTTCCTTTTAATTGAATTTATTGGGGTGACATTGGTTAATAAAATTATATAGGTTTCAATATACTGTATTGTGTATTCACCATCCCAAGTCAAATCTTCTTCCATCACCACTTATCCCTCCCTTGAACCTGTTCTACGTCCCCTCCACCCCCTTTCCCCTCTGGTAATCACCATACTTTTGTCTGTGTCTATGAGTTTTTGTTTTTTTTGCTTAATCTTTTCATTTTTTGCAGCTGGAATGCTAAAGAAGCAGTCAGGTATACATTACAATTAATATCCATATTCTATATGTTATCTTCCCTCTATCAAATTTTATTACTTAGCAGGGCCTAAATTAGATAATTTATCTCATCATCTGAACATAACCTCAAACTATACTTAAATTTTGGATTCCATTAAACTGAATTTTCAAATCAGATACTCCTATAAGTTATAATTGAATTATATTTAATTAAGCATTGATTTGTATATAAATCACAACCCACTATATTGCTTTTTGCTATAAAGCAGAAATAAGCAAGGAGACCAGAAGGTGATTTTACCTATAAGATAGGTCTACCATATGCATGAGAATAGCATAAAAACAATATCTTTTTGTATTTTGAAAATACATGTGAGAATTTTAGGTAAACTTTTTCTATAATGAAAAAACAGTGAAATTGTATTTATAGAGAAACCAATGGGTGGACATAGCAAATGCATTTTGGACTTCAAAGGGGGGGCGTAAAACTCTGTAGAGAAAGATGTTTTCCTTTTTTACAGTTCTAGAGGAGTCTAAGGGATAATTATTGTATTATTTGGAAGTACAGTATTATGCACACAATACCTTGCATATAGTAGAACTTTAAGACAATAAAAGTGTTAATGAAGACTATACTTTCAAGTAAAAAAAATCTGTTTTAAACAGATAGCATCGCCCAGCCGGTGTGGCTCAGTGGTTGAGCATTGACCCATGCACCAAGAAGTTGCATGTTCGATTCCCCGTCAGGGCACAAGCCCAGGTTGTGGGCCCGATCCCCAGTGGGGGGCATGCAGGAGGCGGCCAATCGATGTTCTCTCTCATGGATTTTTCTCTCTCTCTCTCCCTCTCCCTTCCTCTCTCTAAAATCAATAAAGAAAAAAAAATTAATTAAAAAAATAAAGATAGCATCAAAAGCCAATGTTACTGCATGAACTTTCATGCTGTCATTTGGAACTAGGCTTCTATTGACCAATACACTCATTGAGAACTTTAGACCTTTTCCCCAGGGAACGCTGGTATCTGTTCATGGTTAACAAAGGAAAACTACTGCACATGGCAAGTATGAAAAAGGACTTATTATACATTGTCTCAACACAGGCTCCAAAATGTCAGTGTCACCTGAGTCCAACAGCAGTTTGACTTTGCATGTTGTAGAATAGAGCAAGTGATTAACCTGGTTTAATGAATATTTTACTTGGAAACAGATTTTGTAGATATAGTCACATCTGCCTTACAAAACTAATATACTAATGGCTAGTGGCAAAGCTGATGATCCAAAAGAGCACACAATTCACATATCACTTATATTTGGCTTTAGGATATTTATTTTTTACTTACCATAGCTCACTAAATTTAAGATGCTTATATTTTCACATCTTAATATGGCTAAAATTGAGGTAAGTGTAACTGGCAGCACTTTTTCTTAGAGGTAAATAACGTGTTTTAGATTTTATGAAATATGGATGTGTTTGATTATAAACAGATCTGAAGGACAAAAATCATTGAAAATACTGTAGCTAAATGTTGAAGAGATTACTTATAAAAAACTAGTAAGTGAACTGCTTCCCCACCTCGAGCAGCTCAAGTACTGCTGCCTCCTTGACATATTCTCAGAACTACAGTCCAGTTTTCAGCATCTATAGCTCTTTGGTTATACTTAGGACAGTTACTACATATATCACTGGATTTGTATATGTTTCCATCCTTTCCAGAATATAAGTCCTTTGATAGAATTATAATTATTTTTGCATCCCGTGTTACAATCAGTATGGTAGAACATGTGAGTTCCTACTATGTACCAGAGTACGTCATGGGTATAAAAGCTACACAAAGATGATTGACTCATACCCACAAGTAGGTACCAAGTGGAGTCTTATCTGTGAAAAAATACTAGGTTTAGTTTTATATTAAAGTGTATGGACTATCACATCTGTAAGTACCAAGTGTATGAGAATGTAGAAGAGAGAGCCTCTAAATCTTACCTTGTAGAATAGTAACATTGGAATTGGGTTTTAAGGATCAGGAAATTGGAATATGGAACAGAATGAGACAAAAAAATGCTAAGAGGAAGCACCAGCATAGGCAGAGAGAGAGAAGGATAAAAGATCAAAGCATGTTCAAGAAGCAAGTCGTATGTTAAAGATAAAATGTAACATGCATTGGCAGTAGGATGGTGGGGTGAGGGAAAATGGGATTAGAGTTGAGCTGGTATCATATATGAAGAACCTTTCATGCATGCTAAGGAGTCTTAATTTGATTCTGTAGGCAAAGACGAGCGACTGATAATTTCAGAAAGACAATCTATAATAGTTAGAAAGATAATGATGTCATAATATGAGAAATGGGTTAGAAGAACAGGGTAGCAGACACTGTATGTTAACTCAAACTCAATACCCATTCCAAATCCCTTCCCCCTTGCTTTCCTTATCATAGAAAACACATGATTTGCCAATCTTCCTTGAGTTATCTGTGCTGTGGCTGTATGACAAGCTCTAGATGTAAAGAGAAGACTTCTGAGAGCAGTTCTAAGAAAGCATTTCCTTTTCTGATAAATGGGGGTCAGAAGCATCTGGTACAGTTTGTCCTAAACCCTGTTCCTACTTTGGTGCATGGGTCAACGCTCAACCACTGAGCCACACCGGCCCAGCCCTTGTTCCTACTTTGAATATGTGTTTCCCAGAAGTACAGTAGCCATTTTGTGAACATGAGGTAACAAATCCACATGCTAAAGACCAGAGTGGAAAGAAAAAATGTATAGGTCCTTGATGGTGGCACCAATGAGTTCTTATACCAATCCTGTAGTGCCTAATAGCAGCCTTTAAATAGACTCTCATTTATTTAAGCTACTATTAACCGGTTTACTGTTACTTGCAAGGAGAACACATTCTGAAGTGACCAAAAGCAAACCTGACAGAAGGCAGATAAACCAGACGGCTACTAATAATTCCGGAAAGTGATGATGAAGATTTCAATGAGAGCAAGCAGAGAAGGTAGACTAGATTTGAGAAACAGAAATAAGGAGACAGAGGTAGAGGCAATTTAGTGTAAGGCACATTGACATTGGGATATCTATGGGATGGAAGATGGGTACACCTAATAAATAATTAGAAAGTTAGGTCTGCAGCTCTGGAAAAATATTAGAGCTGCACATATAAGAAATAAAGACAGCCCTGGCTGGTTTGGCTCAGTGGTTAGAGCGTCAGCCTGCGGTCCAGAGAGACCCGGGTTCGGTTCCCGCTAAGGGCTCGTGCCTCCGTTGCAGTTTGTACCTCAGTTGCAGTTTGTCCCCGGCCCTGGTTGGGTCGTACGGGTGGCAGCCACTTGATGTGTCCCTTTCATATTGATGTTTCTCTCTATCTCTTCCTCTCTCTCCCTCCCATTCTATGTGAACAAAAAGATGGTAAAATGTCCTCAGGTGAGGATAAAAAAAAAAAGAAAGAAATGAAATAAGGACATATAAATGGTTCCTGAAGCCGGTGAAGTATGTTGAATGAAAATGAGAGCACGTAGCAAATGAGAAAAAGAAGGCTAGGAATATAACCTGAGGAGCCCAGGCATTTAAGGGATTCAGAACAAGAGAAGAATGAAGAAGAACAAGATGAGCAGGAATAACAGAGAGCAAAGGGAAGGTGTGTGTTTCAAGGAGGGAGTGGTCAGTCGGTACTGAATAATTACAGAAAATGTAAGAAGGTATAAAGGCCAGGGTGTCACAAATTAGTAATTGATAGTGAGGTAGTAAGAAAGTGACATTACTTTTTTATGAAATATGACAATTACAGAAAGGAGAAAAAAAGGTAGATCAAGAGATAGAGAGAGGTTTTTGTTAGTGCTGTTTTTAGATAAAGAAGATCAGAGCTATTTAGAGGTCGAGGGGGAAAAAATGAGTGAAAAGAGAAACCAAAGACTGAAGATATAATATAAGGGAAAAACCAGGAAGGGATGAGATCAGGACCCAAACAGAAGCATTAGCCTTAGAAAAAGAAGATAGCGTGGCTGAAAAAGGTGTCTTGAAAGTACATGGGAAGAAGCTGTGAATGGTCATGACGAATAACTTGTTTTTTTTTTCTCTGTGTAATAGGAGACACAGTCATCTTTGGCAGGTGTAGGAGACTTGAGAATAAAAGGTCTGAAATAACCTCTCCTAGGGAACAGAATAGGAAACCACCTAGGAACCAGTAGGTCTGCTAAGGAGTACCGGAGGTCACATGGAGCATATGTCCTCTTAAATAGTTACAATGGACATTTAAGAGGAGTCAACATTAATAAAACGCAGAGACAAAGCCAAGCCTGAATATCATAAAATATGAATATTTTATTCCAGCTCTGGGAAATGAAAAAAAGAGAATGATAGGGAACATATCCTTCCACAAATCATTCTAATTTAGCTGACAGTAATTAGAAAAAGCTAAAGCAACTATATGTGTGTATAAGTATTGATATGTACACATACATATTTTTTCAGACCTTAGTCTAATAAGTGTTCATATATTTACTCTATTGTTTATAAACACCCTTAAAAATCATCAAATGCATCTTAATACTACCTCTGCCTCTTCACCAATCATTTAATAGTGTTTGGATTCTGTTTGCTGTTTGTGTTTTAATCACTTACGTGACTGGTCAAACCATACATTAGAAGATGCAAGGAATAGATTTGCTTTAAGTTATGCTCTATGTGTCACAATTACCCATTACATGATTTTTCGTTATGATTTGGAACTTCACAAATCTTGCCATTCTCTATGTAGACGATTTCAGCTTCTAGTGCTGTACATATCTACATCTTCCGGATGGGACTGCCCGTGATCCATGAGCTTGGGGTCAGGCATTCGCTGTGTAGCACCTGATAAAGTATTAAAATGAAAAAAAAAAAGAGTCATTCATTTCACAAATTTATTGTTGTACTAGAAATACAGCAGTGGAAAAAAAGTTAAAACTCTTTGCCAATATGGACACAACATTTGAGTTGTGTGACATGGGCAATAAATTAAGTAAAAGAAATAATATATCGGAGAGTGGTAAGTGTTATGCAGAAAAATAACACAGGGAGGAGCATATGGAGTGAGTGGGTGATTTGCAACCTTTTTTTTTTTTTTTTAAATCTTCACCTGAAGACATTTTTGCATTTATCTTCAGATAGAGCGGGAGGGAGAGAGAGAGAAACATAGATGTGAGAGAGACACATTTAGTGGCTGCCACCCACACAACCCCACCGGGGCCGGAGCCAAAATGCAACCAAGGTACGTGCCCTTAGCGGGAATCGAACCCGGGTGTCTCTGGTCTGTGGGCTGATGCTCTAACTGCTGAGCTAAACCAGCTAGAGCAATTTGCAATTTTAAATAGGGTGACCAGGAACAGCCTTCTAGAAAAGTGGTAACTGAAAGAGGTGAGTGTGAGCCCTGTAGATATTTTAGGGAAATGCCTTAGAGAAGGAGAAGAGAGCAATTATAATAGACCTGAGGCTTGTCCGAGTAACCACAAGATGGCTGGAACACAGTTGGCAAGATGTGGTGACCGGCGGGGGGGTTGGGGGGGTGCCGTGAGAATGATAACAGACATGCTCAGGAAACAATGGCATGCTAGGCCACAAAGAGCCACAATAAGGTTTTTCTTTTTTCTTTTATGTGAGAAGAGAAGCTACTAGGCAGTTTTGAGCAGAGGAGTGACATGATGTTTTTGCAAAGAATCGCTCTTGGCCACGAGGAGAGGAGACTATAAGGGAACCAGGCTGAAAGAAGGGGGAGCAGTTTGGAAGGCACTGCAGTACCCCAGAGGGGAAATCCTGGCGGCCTGAATTAGGGCAGCAGCAGCGGGGCTGGTGAAAGGGGACTGGGTTATGGATAAATTCCTAAGACAGAAAGGACGGGAGTTCCTAAATGGACTGAATATGTTGTGTGAGAGAGACTCTAACTTGAGAAACTGCAAGGATGGAATTGACATTTATTGAGATAGGGAAAAATAAGGGAGCATATTGGGGGAAGGCAAAGGAGGTATTAAGTTTTTTAGAGTAAGTTTTGGGTATGTTAAATTTCAATTCCTAAATAGTCATCCGAGTATACATGTTGACCAAGCAGCTAGCAATGTGAATCTGTAGAGTTCAGGAGAGGCCTGGGCTGGTTTGGACATTTTGCAGTCCGAGCTTTCATATGTTATTTAAAACTATGGGACCACTTGAGATCATTTAGAGCATCAGAGAAGAGGTCTAAGGAATGAGGCCTTTGGATACTACACTTTTTTGAAGTTAAGAAGATTAGGCCCTGGCCGGTTTGGCTCAGTGGTTAGAGCGTCAGCCTGCGGTCCAGAGAGACCCGGGTTCGATTCCCGCTAAGGGCATGTACCTCGGTTGCAGTTTGTCCCCGGCCCTGGTTGGTCGTGCGGGTGGCAGCCACTCGATGTGTCCCTTTCACGTCGATGTTTCTCTCTTTCTCTCTTCCTGTCTCTCCCTCCCACTCTATCTGAACAAAAAATGGAAAAATGTCTTCGGGTGAGGATAAAAAAAAAAAAAAAAGATCAGGAGAATGTAACAGAGAAGACTGAAAAGGAACAGCCAGTCAGTGAAGTAAAAGAACCGTGGGCCAGTGGCATCCCAAAGGCCAAGCGAAGAGACTGTTTTAAGGAGGAGGGAGTATTCATGGACTGCATGAGGTGGGACTGAGAATGGATTCCTGGATTTGGCAATGTGTGAGGCACTGGTGATTTTGAGAAGCTGACTGTGGCCCTGGCCAGTTTGGCTCAGCAATTAGAGCGTCGGCCTGCGGACCCAAGAGTCCCGGGTTCAGTTTCCACTAAGGGAGCGTACCTTGATTGCAGTTTGTCTCCGGCCCTGGTTGGGGTTGTGTGGGTGGCAGCTACTCGATGTGTCTCTCTCACATCCATGTTTCTCTCTCTCTCTCTTTCTCCCTCTCTCCCTCCTGCTCTATCTGAAGATAAATGCAAAAATGTCCTTGGGTGAGGATTAAAAAAAAAGAGAAGCTGATTGTGTGCCAGGCAGGATACTATGTTATTTTCATGCAATGTCTCAGAATATCACCATGAGATATAATTACTTTTAGTATTCAATATAACAATATACACAACGTTCTGCATATAATACCCTGTGCATATTAAGTAGGCGAGAGACAACCATTTTTATATTTCCTTTATGACATTAGAAAAAATGATTTTTCAGAAATTTGTTTTTATTTCAAATATATTTTTCAAAATCTGATTCTTTTTAAAATGATTTTATTACATTTGGGAAACACACCTTTTTTTACATAGAGAAATTTAATTTCCAGTTTTATGATGAAAACAAGGAGAAAGAGATTTATATACAATGATGTTACACGTATCATTTCAGGAAAATTTTCTATTTTAGAAAGTCTGATACACCTATATGTAACTTCACCAGCAAATATATTACAAACAACAAGATCATTAGTAATCATTACCCATGGAACTAATACAGTTTTCCATAGAATACAGTACTTAAATTTAGGGGGGGTCTGTGGATAAAATTCATGTGATTTATGAACTTGGATGAGGGAAATTTGTCTTTCTTTTTCATTAACTTCTGGCTAGAAATGAACATTTCCTTCAATAATGCATGTAGAAAACAAACTACAATAGTATTAACAGTACCTTAGGTTCTGTCACTAATAGAAATTACATATATTTTTGTATTACTCTGCAGTCGCAGTTATCTTGAAATATTTACACTTACCACTAACTTAAAAACTATGGCCTTTATTAGATATTAGATATTCTGTTAGATATATTGTTGTTTAATACATTTAAGGAAGCTCATATATAACCATGTATTTCATTTTGTGCACTTAAAAGCATTATTCTGAAAAGGGGTCCATAGCATACAAAAAACATTAAGGGATTCTGCTTGCTTCCTTCTCAAATGTATCTTTACTGCCACCTTGTGGCAGCTCTTGCTCGGTGCCAGTAAAAAGGCATACTATAATAAGCATGTGACAAATATTTCATATAAGTCTGAATGTGTCTAATTTGCTTAATTTCTTAATTTACGTTCCTGTCCAAAATCTAGTCAAAGATTCAGCTCACTCAAATTTGAAAGGCCCCTTTACCTTTAGATTGCCACTTCTCAAAATTTGTTGAAAGGCTTCAAAGTTTTAATTTACCCATAGTTTACATCAGACATTATTACATAGAAGAATATGCATTGAGAATTCCCTATGGAGTTCTTCCTGTAACCACTTGCTTAGAGGCCTCACCTCTGGAGATTTTGATTTATAATTCTTCGAGTGAATTTTAGAAAACAGAACAAAAAATAATTGTGATGTGGATCTCTCTGGTTTAGAACTTAGCTTTGGTCACTTTATTTCTGATTTTTAAAAAATTATCTCATGATTTTCTGAGTACTTAAGGATTATACCTTTCCTCTTATATATTTCTTCACCCCATGAACTGATCAAGGGCTCTCTATCCTCCCAAAGGATGAACTGTCATAAAACTGTTCTTGAATAGAAATCCCCTAATCATTATAATGTTTTTCTTTGTACTTTATCATATTTTAAATCTCTAATAAAGACACTTGATGCATAAAGTTTTTTTTAGAAGACTTAAAAAAAGTTGGTGTTACAACAGGAAAGTAATAAAGATGTTTAGTTATAAAACATGATTTTATAACAATGATTTATTGTCTCAAATAGCCATTAGTGATACCTGTTGACTGATAATTTAGTTCACACATTATGTCATTTATATTTCAAGCAAGTTACAAAAGATGGGACAGATCAATAATAAACTGCTGAGTGAAGTTAAAATGGTTAGACATTCTATTTTTGTTTCTTTTCTCTAAAATTAGGATGATATCTAGCATTCAGCCCTTCAGTAATTGGAATACTTAAAGATATTAGTCACTGTAAAATACTTTCTCATACATTCTTCCCATTCTTTCTGTTCTTTGCTTCGGTTGGGCTATTTGCTGTTGACCTGTATGCGAGTTCATTACTTCTGTCCTCCCTTGTATGCAATCTACTGTTAGACCCATCCAATGAGTTCTTAATTTCACGTACTAAATGTTTCACTTTTAGAATATCCACTTGATTTTTTAATATATTACAATTTTTCTGTGAAATTCTCAGTGTTTTCATCCATTTTGTTCATCATGTTTTCTATTTAACATATTAACCATAGTTACTAAAGTCCTTTTTTTTGCTAACTTCAATATTTAGATCACCTGTGGGTGTGCTGTTATTATTTTTTCCTCTTTTGATTGTCAGGCATATCTTCCTGCCTCTTTACATGACTAGTACTTTATTTGTATGGAGGCCACTGTATCAAAGAACTGTAGAACACATTATCTTCTACCTGCTATGGAACCCTTTTTCTCTTTAGGAAGGGTGAATATTATCTCAATCCAATCAGCATTGAACTGAGCTGTAGTTTTAGTAACTCACTCAACCTCCGAATCCTCCCTGTTCCTCAGGTATAGCTGCACTGAGAGCCTGGGGAGTTTCTGTCTCCCTCGCACTAAAATTCTGTAGGAAATTCGGTTTTGCTCTTCAGAGGTTTTGAGATTGGCTAGTCTCCTGAGCCATAAACAAACCAACCAACCAACAAAAAACTGGCAAATGTCGTAAGGAGGTAGATGAGTAAAGTATATACGGCACACTTCATCCCTCTCAATCAGAAATCAGCACATTTTTCCTACAAAGGCCAAAGAGTAACTATTTTCGACTTTGTAAACCGTAAGGTCATCCACTCAACTCTGCCACTGCAGTGCCAAAGCAGCCAGAGCATACATACATGAACGCGTGCGACTGTGCCCCAATAAAATTTGATTTATAGACACTGAGATTTGAATTTCATAGAATTTTAACTTGTCAAGAAATAGTCTTCTTTTGATTTTTTTCAACATTTAAATAATGTAAAAACCATTTATGGCTTGTGGAATGTACAAAAATAGGTGATGACCCATTATTTGGCACAAGGGCCAACCTGAGCTTTAGACGGACGTTAATCCTGTGAAACCATGAGACATTTTACTCTGCTTTCATCAGATTTTGAAGAGGTCCATGTCCCCAAATTTCCAAATTAACATAATTTTTACCATAAATGTATATAGATGATAGAAAAAATCAAACTCATATCCACAGCCATGATATAGATAGACAGAAAGACAGACAGACATAGATAGATAGATAGATAGATAGATAGATAGATAGATAGATAGATAGATAGACAGACAGACAAAATGGACAGCTTGAGAGTTCACCCAATCTATTCTGTAAGTTGATAAATGATGATCATGGCCGGGCTTCCCAGCTAAGTAACATGCTCCCAAATTGTGCTCAATGAAAATAAATTTGTTTACTGGCAAAAGGCTAACTACTCTAGTCAAATGATAATGATGTCTTCTAACACTAAGAGATTAGTATAGTATGTGCTTGATACTGGACTTTGTGCTTTCCATGCAATATTGCATTTAATTCTTACAACAACTATGAGAGAAAAATACTATTATGTTTCCCATTTTATGGATGAAGAGACTGAGACTTGAGGACTTCAGATCCATGTCTTATTCTAAAATCTGTGCTCATAATCACTACTGTTTCTTGGGTCTTAGACCTCTGGGACTGCATGCGAAAGGTAGAATGGTAGAAATGGTGAAGCCCAAGGGTCTACTGTATAATCAACTCTGACCAATATGAGATAAGGATGAATGGTACTGGCTTATCTCTTTCCCACATGTCTCCTTAGAATGCTTTTCATATACTACATTACCCACGACAGGCAACTAAAGGGTTCAAGAATCCAGGTATGTAAAAACAAAGTTATTGGCTAGGGATGGTTTGGTCCGACTGTCAAACTATAACATGTTTCATCTCCACAAAGATACTCTGGAATTGACAGGCATTTAGAAAAATGACTAGATCTATTATATATTTGTAGGATTATGGTCAACTGTGTATTACTCAGAGAAAGCGTAAATACTGTACAATTCATCTTGATTAAAAAGGAGAGGTGGCCTAGGAAGAGTAAAACTCAAATCAGTTTTGTTAGTAACAGCTTTTAGGAAGATTAAATGAGAGAAGAGAAGGCTGAAATTAGAGACTAAACTCTGGTTTTAAATTAGCTAACTCTGTACACAATGCGAACAGCTTGGATTTTGGTGTCAGGAAGATCTTGTCTATAAACACAAGTCTGCTACTCATACGCTGTGCGATTTTGGGCAACTTACTAAAGTTCCCCGAGTCTCAGTCTCTTCATCATTAACTGACTACAATGACATACATCAGAGGTTTTTTGTTTTTTTTTTTTGCTTTTGGATGAGGATTAAATAACACAATATATTTACAGCTCTTTGTACCACAGAGGAGGTGCTCAATAAGGCCCCTGAATAATGCAATACTATTATTTCTCAATTCTTTACCCCTGAGTTGGTCCTATTTACTTTGCAGTAAGACAACTTACTGGGTAGTACCATTAACACTGTACAGATAGACAAACCTATGTAAATCAGTGACTGGTGAGTTTACGTATATACATACTGAAATGGTATTAAACATTCTGTTACTTCTTACTGATCACAGTAAAACCATTACAGTATTTTCCTAGAAAGTATAATTGTCACACAAAGTACTAATTGCCATTATCTAACACTAGCAAAGTTATTAGTTTTATAGTTGGTGTAATTTTTACAATTTGATGTTGAAAGTCTCCCAGTATCTAAACTACATAAAACTGATGATGGGAACCAAAACGGATAGGGGTACATAGCACAGGGAATGGGAAGCTGATATTTCTTCCATGTAGACGCGACTCATATTCACAGCCTATAAATTAACAGAATGCAGAAAGACACATTTTACTCCACCTGATTAAAAAGCTCACTTTTATAAAGTGATATTAAATGCTTCATTCATCCAACCTGCAGTGCTACTCTGTACCCCCATGAGCAAAGATCTGTATTATGAGCTATGTCACAATTAGAAAAGTCCCAGGTACCTGAGTACCTCAGGACCTAAAAATATATACAAACTAGATGTGAGAAAGAAAAAAAAATTATTAAAAAGCAACACATAAATAAGTTCAAGCTAATAAGCATAATATTACAAAAATTTAAAAGAAGGAATAAAAACAACATTAAATTATCCAAACAAACCTGAGGTGGATTCTGATTTGGTCTTAGTTTCAGATCTGAGTTCTGTTGGCAAAGCCATTGAGTGTTTCTGGTCATGGGCTGTTTTCGCAGGTACTTCTATTTCAGGAGAGCTCCCTAGCTGTTTAACAAAAAGATTTTCCTCATAAGTAAATCATTTTACTAGAAGAATAAGGTATCTTATACAATTATAGCATGCAAAGGTATTATGTTCTTTCATCTTTTTCTCATTCTGTTCCTGACCTCTGTCTAGTACTACCGTTATAAGCCAACACCCACCCAAACAAAACTCAATGTCGACCTTTTTGCTCCCTTTAAACTCGACCTTAGTTTTTTCTTTAGGCTCAGGAAGGGACTCTTTTTTGTTGTTTTTTGTCCACAATGATTTAACTGCTTCATAAATTTGCTGGCTTGTAGCATATGCCTTTTTCCCGGTTACCTAATTAAAACAAAAGGTGAGACAAATAACCTATTTTTAAGAGTTAAAATAACAAGTATTAAACACTTATGTCAGGTTGTTTATATTAACACCCGTCAGAATCAATGATAAAGATATGATTGAATTTTTAGATGTTAAAACACAAAGTCTCATCTTCTAAATCTTATATGAAGTCATTTGTGTCATGTAAAAGGCTAAAAAAAAGTGTAGTTAGTACAATACCCAAACTGGATCCTGATGTAAACTGTGAACTTTGGGTGATAATGATGTGTCAGTGGAGGTTCATCAATTGTAGCAAATGGACCAGTCTAGTGGGGGATCAGAGGAGGCGATGCATGTTGTAATGGAAATCTCTGATAGCTTCCCCTTGATTTTGTTATGAACCTAAAACTGTTCTAAAAAATAGTCTTAAAAACTGTATAGTTAGCCTTCTCACTGCGAAACTATGTCAATTTTTAGAGGGGTTTGGGAAAGATAGTTTGAGATAATAAACAGATGAGAAAATAAGATTTTAAGATGCTCAAAAGTTAATGCTTATGCTTATATTTTTATATTGCTTTCTTCTCTTTCTTCTGTCATAAAGAAAAAGCATCCATGTGTTTCTACAGAGAACAATACTCTTTTTTTTTTTTTTTTGGTAGAAACATGACATAAAAAATGAACTACAAACACTAAGCAGAGGCCAGGTTGCTAACGAAATTCCTGAAGCTGCTGTTAAACTGTCTGTTTGAAAATAAGATTCCTTCTTTCTAGTCTTCTCCCATCCTTACATTCCTTATGGTTTAAGTCATTTCAATAGCTATTCATATTTCAAGCTTTAAACAAATTTCTAAAAACTATGTTTTTCTTCTATTAAGTAGAAATATTTTTATTATTTTTGATAAGTATATACTACACTTAAGAAAAATCAATCAGCGCTGGCTGGTTTTGGCTCAGCAGTTAGAGTGTTGGCCTGCGGTCCAGAGAGACCCGGATTTGGTTTCCACTAAGGGCACGTACCTTGGTTGCAGTTTGTCCCCGGCCCTGGTTGGGTCATGCGGGTGGAAGCCACTTGATGTGTCCCTTTCATGTTGATGTTTCTCCCTCTCTCCCTCCCACTCTATCTGAACAAAAATATGTAAAAATGTCCTCGAGTGAGGATTAAAAAGAAAGAAAAGAAAAATCAATCAGCCCAGCTGGTGTGGCTCAGCAGATGGAGTATAGTCCCATGGACTGAGAAGTCCTGGTTCGATTCCTGGTCAGGGCACATGCCCGGGTTGCAGACTTGATCCCCAGTAGGGGGCATGCAGTAGGCAGCCAATCGATGTATCTCTCTCACATCGATGTTTCTATCTCTCTCTCCTTTCCTCTCTCTCTAAAAAATAAATACAAACATATTTATAAAAAAAGAAAAGAAAAATCTATCAATCCATTGGTATAAAGATAGTCTTCTTCCTCCCCTCAGCATAACCATTGTTAACAGTTGAGTGGATGTTCTTCCTCAATTTTTACTATTATATGTACATTTTATACATACACACAAAGCATTTTAAAACAAAGGGAATGTAGCCTGATCCAAGATGGTAGCAGTGTAGGTGGAAGTCACATGCACCTCCTCCCAGGACTGAACTGGAATTACAACTAAATTATAGAACAATCAACCTGAATAACCAACTGAAGAGTAGCTGAACAGAAATCTTATAACCAAGGATTTAGAGAAGAAGCCACATCAAAACTGGTAGGAAGGGCAGAGATGTGAATAGGGCTGCCACCCCTCCCACGGGTGGTGGCTGAGATTCTGCAGGGATCAAAGATACCCCTGAGGAGCATGGGGGTCTCAACCACAAACTGGGCCCCTTAGCACAGGGCACCAGAGCCAGGAAGAGGCAACCACAGCACATCTGGTTGTGAAATTCAGCGGGGAGTCTGTCTGCCAGGAAGATACGGGATCTGCTAGGGACACAGATGCCCTCTAGAAGGGCCAAACACATGAAATCTCATTCCCAACCACTCACCCTGGGCTCTAAATGAGGGATGGAAGAGCAGACTAGATTCCTGTGAGGAAAGACTGGGGCTTGCAGTTCTGGGTAGAGACCTGAAGGGACAGCCGCCAGAATCCCTGTGCTGAGTCCTTCTCCCACACCACAGACACCAGCTTTCTTGGGTGAAGCACTCCCTCCTTAGGACCTCAGCCTGGGGTAATTCAATATCCTCAGCCTCTGCACTCCCTGTTGCCCCACTCTGCAGAACACATGCCTTGCTGAGGTGTCAGCTGCCTAGGTGGGAGTGCAGAGGTCTTTGCAGACTCAGGGATTGTCAGTGAGTGAGTTGTGTGGCTTTGAGGCAGGGCCCATTACCCTCACTTTCTGGTGAACCTGACAGGTGCCTACCCCTCACAGGAGATCTGCTAGCCCCACACTTTAGACTCCAGGCAGCCCCACCCTCCCGACTCCTGGCGTCCACTGCCCTGCTGAGCAAGGGCTCCCCGGGAGTTCTGGGAAGAATCCAAGCCAGACTGAATTGTATGTCTCAGAGGCAGGGATCACTGCCCTGAACTTCCCACAAGCCTGACCAGCAGCACCCGGTCACAAGAGGTCTACAAGCTCCACTGTCCTGGAAGCCTTGCCCTGATAAGCTTTGACTATTGGCAGAATCTGCGACAGACTGAGCTGTGTGGCTCAAGGATGGGGGCTATTTTTCCCTCACATGCATGACCAGTGCAGAGCCCTCCCTTCACATGGCCAAATCTTGGTCTGTTTGGGTCACATAACCTCTGTTAGCCTCACCCTGACAACTCCCTGGGCCCCATCCAACCACAAAAGTATGCGGGCACTCGGGGGGTGGCAGCTAGACTTGATATACCCTGGGACTTTTATGAGTGGTCTCAGACTAAGCATAGGCACCGAGTTTGAATAACTATCAATCTGGTAAACTCCACTTGTCCCTATCTGGTGATTCAGCTTGGTCCTTCCAATGCATACACAGGTCCAGCAGAGGCTTCCACAAACTGTGGATCACTTTGTAGCTCCAAATAGGTTACTCAGGGCCAGTCACAGGCAGTATCTGATACTGACCTGTACTAGAATCGCTCTCAAAAGGTCCCAGAACCAACAAGATAGCGATCCACTTCAGACAACATAAGAGCACATTTCAATTAGCTTCACAAGTGGCATATTGAAAGGGAGATCTCAGTAGGCACCAGACCCAGCTGAGATCTTCTTTATGTGGTCAGAACCTCCACAGCAGTTTATATACTGTAATTGGGGTCAACACTAAGACTATGCCAGACTGAAGGTGAAACACATGCATAAATGGGCCAATAGCAATCAAGACTTAATTACAAAGGGAGAGCCCACATAACCTACACAAGAGACATTCTTGAACAGCCAGCTCAGGTGATCAAAGAGACTGTGCCACTGGGTCCCAAAAGAAACTTACTACATAAAGCCACCTTGCCAAGACTGGGAAACACAGCAGATCTACCTAACACACAGAAACAAACACAAAGAGGCAGCTAAAATGGGGAGACAAAGAAACATGCCCCAAATAAAAGAATAGGAGAAATCTCTAAAAAAAAAAAAGCACCAAATGAAATAGGAACAAGCAATTTACCAGATATATAAAGTTTTTTAAAATGGCTATTAGGATGTTTAAGAAACTTATTGAGAACTTTAACAGCATATAAAAAGGACATACAAACCATAAAAAAGAACCAGTCAGAAATGAGAAATACAATTTCTGAAGAATACACCAGAAGGAATAAACACGAGGTTGGATGAAGCAGAGGACAGAATCAGCGATTGGGAAGACAATGTAACAGAAAACACCCAATCAGAGCAGCAAAATGAAAACAAAATTTAAAAAAATGAAGATAGTTTAAGTGACTTTTGGGGCAACATGAAGCATAACAACATCTGCAGCACAAGGGTACCAGATTAAGAAGAAAGAGCAAGTACTCGAGAACATATAAGAAAATAATGACAAAAATTCCCTAACCTGGTGAAGGAAAAAGACACACAAATCCAAGAAGCAAAGAGAGTCCCAAACAAGATGAACCCAAAGAAGCTGATACCAAGACACATCATAATTAAAATGGCAAAGGTTAGACAGAAAGAGAATTTTAAAAACAGCAAGACAAAGACAGTTACCTATAGGATTAAGGACACCACACTCAATGGGAGACTGTTTGGATCTGTCTTCTCAAGTCCTGATACCCTCACCCTGCTGAGCTCAGCTCTGTGGGAGGCTCAGAGAGCTGCTGGAGCAGGGACCTTTAAAACAGGTCTCTCTCAGAGACTCTTCTCCAGGAAGGGGAAGAAATGCCTGCTCCCTCCTCCAGAGGCTTGCCAGTACCATCTCCAATGGGAGACTCTCTTGATCTGCCTCCCAAGTCCTGGTGGCCCTGACCTGCTGAGCACAGCTCCACAGAGGAAAGGAAGTACTGCTTGCAGCTAGGACATTTGGAGTGCTTCTCCCTCAGTGGCTTTTGTCTGAGAGCAGGACGAAGTGTTAACCCCATTCTTGTGGGTTTAGCTGGCACCATCCTCAATGGGAGACTCTTTTGATCTGTTCTCCGGAGCAGCGGTGGCTCCTCCCTGCTGACATTGTTCCTGCAGAGGGAACAGCTGGCTGCACCTAAGCTGAACTTGCAACACGTTCCTCTTGGTTCCTCTAGAGTTAGAGACTCTGGCAAAGAGTGAGTGGTAGGGCTCTGGAGTAGGGACCACTACCCCCTCATTGAGTTCCTGACCAAGTAAGAGACCTACTAGTCCCACCCTCATGACTCCAGTCACCCTGCCCTACTGAACTCACATGTGAAACTGTCTGTAGGTCATGGCCAGCCTATTATTACTCCACAGTATTTCTTTGGAAGGCCCTTTAGGAAGATCTGTCAACCTCAGGGGTAGGCAGAGTAGCTGACAGGTGGAAGTGGACCTTGGGGATCATCAGACCTTTTATAGATCTGCCCTCAGCTCTAAGCTGGAGGAAGCTGACCTTTGTATACAGATTGGCCCCTACCATGCACACCCAGACCCAGTAGATGCAGCCACAAACAATGAATAATGTGGTAGCTCCAAACAGGTAGCACAAGGCTGGTTACATACAACGTCTGACATCAACCTGTACCTGAACACTGTCCAAGTGGACCTAGAACCAACACAACTAGTGGTGGGCTTCAGGCCACACCAGAGCTTAAATCAACTAGCCACACAAGCAGCACACCCAAAGAGGGATTCTGACAGGCATCTCTGCCTCAGGGAGCAGCCCTTGAACAGTGTCTCATACACAGTAATTGAGGAGTATCCTTATAGTCACCCAGCCTGAAGGGTTAAGTCCACCCACAAAAGGGCCAACAGCATACAAAATTCAACTACAACAGGAGGTTGCACATAACCCACAAAAAACATTCCTGGAGCACAGAGTTCAGGTGATCTGGAAGATCTTGTCACTGAGCCAAACAAGACACCTACATCATAAAGCCATCATAACAAGTTTAGGAGTCATATCTAATACACAGAAACAAAATGGGGAGACAAAAAAAAATGCCCCACATGAAAGAACAAGTGAAATCCCTAGAAAAAGAATGAAATAAAATGGAAACAAGATAACCAGGTATAGAGATTAAATCAATGGTTATAAGGATGCTCAAAAACCTTAGGGGAAGAATGGATGATCTCAGTGAGAATGTAAAGCCATAGTAAGCATTAGAAAGGACATAGAGCCCAGCCGGTGTGATTTAGTGGCTGAGTGTTGACCCATGCATCAAGAGGTCGCTGGTTTGACTCCCGGTCAGGGCACATGCCCAGGTCGTGGGCCAAATCCCCAGTGGGGTGCATGAAGGAGGCAGCCAATCGATGTTCTCTCTCATCGATGTTTCTCTCTCTCTCCTCCTATTCCTTCCATTCTCTATAAAATCAATAAAGAAATTAAAAATAAACAAATAAAAAGGACATAGAAACCATAAAAAAGAGCCAGTCAGAAATGAAGAATACAATATCTGAAATTGTATACTTCCTTCCTTTTCTAAGAGGACGTCAGACAGAGAAAGAGAAATACCAAATGGTTTCACTTACATGTGGAATCTAGAAAAAGAAAACAATGAACAAACAAAACAAAAACAGACTCATAGAACCAGAGACCAAAAAAATGGTTACCAGAAATGGAGTATGAGTGAAAAGAGGGAGAGGAATACAGTCAATAACACTGCGATAAGTTTATAGTGACAAATGATTACTAGAATTAGTGGGGTGTTCACATTGTAAGGTATAAAAATGTAGAATCACATCATTGTACACCCAAAACTAATATGACCAATATATTGGATACCAACTATACTGGAGACAAACTGCAACCGAGGTACATGCTCTTAGCGGGAACCTAACCTGGGACTCTCTGGTCCATGAGCCGATGCTCTAACCACTGAGCAAAACCGACCAGGGCCAAATGGTTGTATTTCATCTTTTCCTATGGCTGAGTAGTATTCCATTGTGTATATGTACCACATTTTCTTTATCCAATCACCTATTGAAGGACACGTTAGTTGTTTCCATGTTTTGGCCACTGGGAATGAACACAGGGATACATATATCTTCACGAATAAATGTTTTCAAATTTTTCAGGTCGTTACCCAGAAGAGGGGTTGGTGGGTCATATGATAACTCTTCTTAATTTTTTGAGTAACAGCCACACTGGTTTCCATACATTCCCACCGGCAGTGAATAACGGTTCCGTTTTCTCCACAGACTCTCTAACACTCGTTATTACTTGTTTTGATGATAATAGCCATTCTAACAGATGTGCGGTGGTATCTTACTGTAGTTTTGATTTGTATTTCCCTAATAGCTAGTGAAGTTGTTTATCTTTTTATATATCTGTTGGCCATTTATATGTCTTCTTGGGAGAACTGTCTCTTTAGGTCCTCTGCCCATTTTTAAATTGGATCATTGCTTTATTTGTTGTTGAGTTGTATGAGTTCTTTTATATTTTGGATATTAAGCTCTTGTTGGAGCTACTGTTTGCAAAAATTTTCTCCCATTGGGTTGGTTGCCGTTTTGTTCTGTTGATAGTTTCTTTTACTGTGTAGCTTTTTAGTTTGATACACTCCCATTCATTTATTGTTGCTTTTGCTTCCCTTGCCTTTAAGGCAAATTCACGGGATATAAAATTGAAAGCTACAAATGAACAACCAAAACAAGCAAACAAAAACTCATAGACACAGACAATAGTGTGGTGGTTACCACAGGAAAGGAAAAGTGGGGGTAGCAAAGTTTAAAGGGGGGTAAATTTATGGTCACAGAAGGGGATCTGACTTTGGGTGGTGGGCGCACACTGCAATATACAGGTGATGTATTATAGGATTGTATACTTGAAACCTATATAGTTTTATTAACCAATGTCACTCAATAAATCTAAAAAATTTTAAGTGAATTACTTAAAAAATAAATATATAACTGCTATCAAATTACAGGTGACCAAGACAACTATAAAAGGCTATGAGAAATAATAAAAACCTACAGGATTCTACTCTCATTTTATTTACAAAATGTTTTTAACTGCTCATTATATATTTTTAAAAAACCTAAACTGAACCAGTAGAAGACATATTACAGATATGGCTACCTATAAGAAAGATGCTACTAACCTTCAGCTAGGAGACCCATACTCATAGAAAAGCCCTACTTCAAAAGTGAGAAAAGTAAACACACCTATATGTCTTAATTTTACATATATATTTAGATTACATATTTATGACTTTTAAAAAACTTCTTGTAACATTTTTTATTGTTAACTACTGATCCTGATAATATCAAATTAGAAGGCACCTATCATACACATACAATTTTTCATATGGTTTCAGGTGGGCAAGTCACAGGTTCTCTAAAGTTCCTTATGAAGCTCAGGTTAAGAACCCATCACACACACACACACACATACACACATTTGTCTAATGTACACAAATATATATTTATATGTAATATACATCATATTAGAACCCACCAAATGTTACATATGACACTTTTATATGACAGTTAGAAGAAAAGCAAGGGTCCCAACTCTAGAATTTTAAGTAACAATTATTATTAAACCACAGAACTTTTAGGAACTCATAGTAATAATTCTTTGAACGTAGAAATTTTAAAGATCAGCAATTCTTTTCTTTTTATTTCCTTCTGTCAAAGTAACAATGAACTTAATACTTTATTTTTTAATTAAAACTAAGATGCATATTATGTATACTGTGATCCTGTTCTTAGGAAACTGTTTCTGTTTATTCACCCACCTAGTTTTCCATCTCTATGCAGGCATGAATATATGACTAGAATAACATTCTATCAAATTTTAACACCGACATTTTTCTGAATGGAAGAATTTCAGGGGGTTAGTTTGTTTTTCCCTACACTTTTCTTGTAATGCTTAAATTATTTAAGGATGAGTAGGTATCAATTTTACTTAAAAAGCATGAAGTCATTACTGTAAACCAGTGGTTCTCAACCTTCCTAATGCCGTGACCCTTTAATACAGTTCCTCATGTTGTATGTGGGCGGACCTGCATGTGGGCGGACCCGCCTGGAGATGGATAGAGGAGCGGTGTCTCGGTTCCTAAGACCATCGGAAATATGTGTTTTCCGATGGTCTTAGGCGACCCCTGTGAAAGGGTTGTTGGACCCCCAAAGGGGTCATGACCCACAGGTTGAGAACCACTGCTGTAAACCAACAAAAAGAATCAGTGGCAGTGTCATGAACAGGAAAGTACAACACCTGAAGCTAAATATAACTCTGGTCAAATTAGTCACTGTGAAACTTCTCTGGGCCAGTTTCCTTCCTGTTAAATGAGAAAGTTGAACGTAATGAATGCAAAGGTTTCTCTTTCAGCACTAATATTATATGAACTCAAGTGGCTAATTCCTGCATAAAATTTTAGGAAATATTTCAAAAAGTAAATGTATCATTTTATCCATCAATTATCTTAAGTATAACATGACTTAATGAATAACGGTCTTTTTGTTTGCTATGAGCTTTTATCATTTGACTGATTACATTACAAACTACATAAGGCACTCTATCCTTCACATTCTCAAAATACTGAATTTGAAGTTTTATCAATGATTGAAGAGATGCTGTAATGATAATGCAATTACACAAGTTCTTTTGGTAACACTATACACTGCTCCAAGTGTGAGGGAAATGTCAGATGTTGATATTTAATGGAAGAAGGAAAGGAATTAAAAAACTGCATATTCCAAAGCTTTCCTTCCCACTCTGAATATGTGTGAAAAATAAGATACAATACTGACACACGCTGTTAAAATTACTAGGAAAATATTTGGTTTTGTAGGTAAGCTCACAAGAAAATGACAAAACAAATATAATATGGATTTTCATGGAAAGTGTTACTTGGTTCCAGATGGTTTCAAACTTGAGTTTGTGTATGTGTCTATTTTGTTTTCATTTTCAGAAGCCTCTGTTATCTTGTCTGGGTACCTACCAAATGGCTGTTTCTTACATAATGTTACTCTTTTAAACTGACAGCTGACAGCAGGTATAATTTTCTGTAAATTAAAAACTGAATTCTACATTGCTCTACAATAGAAGGGTATTTATCCCCAAAAATTCTAATTCAGTGTCTCTGAACTTAATCGTCAAACAGCATTTATAATGTTGAACTATACTGAAAGAAATTCATCCTATTTATTTGTGATGATCACATACTTAGGAATGACATTTACTATGCTGGGATGCTAACGTAATTTTACCAATATAAGAGTTGATACCACTATGTATCTATGAAAATTAAATGTTGCAGATACTCTATGTCATTTAAATATTGCCATATCAAGAGTTTAAATAAATACTGAAAAGCAGCTTTCACTTAAAAACAACTTACCTTTGCAATTATTATGGACTGAACTGGATAACAAACAGTTGCTCCTAAAGTAGCCAGTCCCAATGGATAAGCAATTTTCTTAAATCTAGAACCTAAGAAATTCAAACAAACTATTAAACTCCTAGAAGAATGCTACCAGAAACTTGATGCTTTTAATAATTTTAATATTCTCTTTGTTCCCATTTAAGCCATACCCCTATGTTAAACATCAGGTAATAATACCAATCAAGGTGTCCTTAAGGATCACAATTCAATGAATAACCTTTAGTTGTCACATCCAATTTAAGAAAAGTATTCTCAATCTAACATAATAATTACCTACACAAGAGGGATTAATGATTTTTTCTTTTTTAAAACTAGGTATTTGTTCATGTTCTAAACCATGTTAAAATGAAATGAACTTTCTTTATATATCCTTTTATGATTAAGTGTTTAAGAAGGTGAAAGATCCAACTAGCTAATCAGTTAAGGACTTTAAAAAGTACATAACTCCTTCATGTCATTGACTTAGAATAGTGAAGTAATAATTTAATAATTGCAAGTAACTTGAGATAATCAAATCATTTATAAAAGTGTCTTATCTAAGCATCTAAAGGTCATTTTCAAACTATTTTGGACAGCACAATCCTTTTCAAAATAAATCTTAGAGATAGAATGTCAGTAAGAACTTCATATATAAAACTTATAAACTTGAAACCACTCTGGTTAGCCTGCAGGAGGAAAGCCCAGTATAAAGCCATACTTACATAGCTTTTTCCTTTTCCTCATACCACCCCTAAACACTCCCATCGAACCCCAGGTTCTGTAGAATAGTTTGAAACCCACCACTCTAAGCTATAGCTTAGTTTCAACAGACTGCTGGTACAAAACAATACGTATCTTTAAAATACTTGTCTGGGTACCTTGGACTCTGTAAATATGATCTGAGCAATTATATGATGGAATTGGTAGCTAGGGGTAAGTACTTTTATTCTTTGGAACAACTCTTAATTTAAAAATGAAACAGCCTCCCAGCCACTGTGGCTCAGTAGTTGAGCGTCGGCCCATGGACCCATAGGTTGCCGGTCCGATTCCTGATTAGGGAACATATCTGGGTTGTGGGGGCAATCCCCAGCAGGGGGGCATACAGAGGCAGTCAATCAATGATGTTTCTCTCTCATCAATGTTTCTCTCTCTCTCTCTCTCCCTTCCCCTCTCTCTAAAATCAGTAACAGCATAAGAAAGAAAGAAAGAAAGAAAGAAAGAAAGAAAGAAAGAAAGAAAGAAAGAAAGAAAGAAAGAAAGAAAGAAAGAGCCTATCTGATATACCAATACAAAAAAAAAAAAAATACCTGGCAACGTTTGCAGGCAACTTTACAGTTTAGGGAAAGTAAAAACAAGTTTGAGGACTAAAGTTGGGTAAATCAACCATCAAGTTATCTGATATCAGATTCCAGACTGGTTCAGAGCTGTGACTTCCAACCTCATGCAATTTAGTTTGGGGACACTGACTGGCAACTTATTTGTGGACAGAGGATGAATGAAAGGTGACCAAAATAGCTACTGATCAGAGAATCACATCAGCTTAGTAAGGGCTTGACTGAGGAGAGGAAGCAGTAATGCCTGCTGAGAGGGTTTCCATAACCAGAGGTGGAAGATGGTCGAATAAAAAAAATCATCAGCCCTGGCCGGTTTGGCTCAGCGGTTAGAGCGTCGGCCTGCGGTCTGGAGAGACCCGGGTTCGGTTCCCGCTAAGGGCACGTACCTTGGTTGCAGTTTGTCCCCGGCCCTGGTTGGTCGTGCGGGTGGCAGCCACTCGATGTGTCCCTTCACGTCGATGTTTCTCACTCTCTCTCCCTTCCTCTCTCTCCCTCCCATTCTATCTGTACCAAAAATGGAAAAAATATCCTCGGGTGAGGATAAAAAAAAAAAAAAAAAAAAAAAAAAATCATCACATGCTTCTGAAAGAGAGTTATTTAATGGATTGCAGAAAAGGAGTCGACAGAGTGTGTCCAAGGCCATTGTTAGAAAGGCCTGCTTGCAAGGCTGGCATCTGGGAACTTGATTGGTAAGCAGTTCACTACAATAGAAAACATCCCCTGAATGATGAGTGGTACACTTTGCCTAAATGATTGTGCAAATAATATGGTTTAGAATGAACAACTATTTTCCTTCTGGGAGTGTGGAATTTGGGTAGATGCTAGATAGACAGTGTGTACAAGACCAGCCCCCAATAATATCTCTGGTCACTCAGTCTCTAATGAGTTTCCCTGGTTGACATCTCATGCGCACTGTCACGAGTCATTAATGGAGGATTTGAATGCATCTTATATGACTCCACTGGGAGAGGACTCTTGGAAGCTTGTACCTAGTTTCCTCTAAGCTCGGCCTCGTGTGCCTTTCCCCTTTGCTGATTTACTTTGTGTCCTTTCACTGTAATAAATCTTAGCCATGAATATGACCACAGGCTGAGTCTTCCTAGGTAATGGAAAAACCTGGTGGTGGTCTTGGGGACCCTCTACACAAGTCGTATAGTGGGAAGGAAGGACAAATTGGTAGCGATAGAGAGTGCAAAGAGGGGGAAAAGAAATAAAATATATCAAGTCTCATGTGCTAAGTGAAAATAGTGAGTGAGCTGTCTGTTTCCCAAACTCCATTTTGAGTTGGCTGATGTCAATTCCAGCAATCTTGGGATAAGGAGGGAATATATTTTTTTTCCTCAGATGTCAGACCTCTGTCTCAAATCTTTAACATAGCCCCCAGAAAACTGGTTGTCATGACTAAGCAGGGAAAAGTAGTTTGAGCAGTTAGTATACATTTTTACCTTAATGTAAAACTCTTAAGACTTTTTAAAAATAGTTATCTAGAAGATGAGAACCAAATGATAGATTACAATGTTAATAGGAAGAGATATATATTTTTAAATTTTTTATTTTAAAATGATCTTACAGGAAATTCAACTTTTTTTGGTGCACAGGTCTATCAATTTTAATATATGTATAGAGTTGTGTAACCACCACTACAATCAGGATATGGAACAGCTCTATTGTTCCTAAAAATATCTCATACTATCTCTTTGTAGTCCTACCTTCTCCCTACTCCTAACCCCTGGGAACCACAGACCTATATTTTGTCACAGTCGTTTTGTCTTTTTGAGAAATTCATATAAATGGAATCACACAATATTAAACTTTTTTGAAATGGCTTCAAGATCGTTACATGTATCAATGGTTAACTCCTTTTTTGCCCGAGTTGTATCCTTTGTATGAATGTCCCACAGTTTAGTTAATTATTGAAAGACATTTAGGTTGTTTCCAACTTTGGGTGATTATGAATAGAGCTGTTATTAACATTTGTGTACATGTTTTTCATTTCTCTAGGATAAATCCTCAGAAGTGGTATTAGCGAGTCTCATGGGAAGTATATGTTTAACTTTATGACAAACTTTTTTCCAGAATGACTGTACCACTCTGTATTCCCACCAGCAGTGTATGAGAGTTTCAGTAGCTCCACATTCTCAGATGTACCTGGTATGGTTAGTTTTTTTTTTTTTTTTTTAATTTTAAACAATCTAATAGGTGTGTAGGGGTATTGCATTTTGGTTTTCATTTGCATTTCTAATAATTAATGATGTTGAACATCTTTTAGAATAGCTATATTCTTGAAAAAAGTTTTTAATAAAAGTAGTCATGCTGTAGTATAAAATCTAAATATTTTAAGGTAGCCTACCCTAATAATACTCAATAAAGGTTATAAAGTTTTCCTGTGATGGTACATTCAGAAATTAGTATAACATAATCAAAAAAGAGAATATATATATTTTTAAACCCTACCTTTTCTTGCTGCAACAACGCCTGCCAATCCTGAGACTGTAATCACTCCAATTTTCGGAAGAAAATCTCGTGGTGGATTCTTCAGATAAACATATGCATCTCAAGAAATCAGTTAAAAATTATTATAAATGACTTACCACAACTGGGCATTTTATATAGGCATGATGCAGAAAAGTTAAGAGATGACAGCAAATGCTTAAACATTTTTAAAAAGAACTACACAAAATAATGATTTGAGCAGCGACTTAAAAAGCTAATTATAATAGTTACTTGTTATAAAATTTAATCATCCTTCTGTAGCTGATTTCAGGATAAATTTGCTTTCTTAATAATATAGGCTATTATTACTCTTCAATGCAATATGATGTTAGAGTCCATATCTTAATATAGATTACTATAAAATAAATTCCTGATTGTTTAAGTATTATATACCTATAATAGAAATGATTCTGACCTTTGAGCAAATAAGCTCAAACATTGGTAGGAGCTGGTAAGAACTGAAACAGATACTTTATAAAGGAACCTTAAATAATAGTCTAGGGATACATGCAGCCACTAGATGCTGAGGTTACTCCCCAGTAACCTCAGAGCCGATGCTGATACTGGTTAAAGTCAAGATTATCAGCATGAGAAGTGAGTCTAGACAAAAAGTAGATAGAGAATGGGCAGAAGTCTGGATTACTTAGCTTTTTATATATTTAAATTGTATTGATTCTAAGCAGTTAAAAACCACACTCTCAGCCTGGCTGGTTTGGCTCAGCAGTTAGAGCATCAGCCAGTGAACCAAAGAGTCTGGGGTTCGATTCCAGTAAAGGGCGTGTACCTCGGTTGCAGTTTGGTCCCTGGCCATGGTTGGGATCGTGCAGCTGGCAACCAGTCGATGTGTCTCTATCACATCAATGTTTCTCTCCCCCTCTCTCCTACTCTGTTGGAAGATAAATGGAAAAATATCCTCAGATGAGGATTAAAATAAAAACACACTCTTGTACCATACTTAATTATTTAATGGCAATCACTTATTTAATCATATTCCTCAAGATTGATGAGGAATTATAATTTGGAATTAATTCCCACAACATACATTAAATAATGATAATGCATATACTGGTCATCAATATCATGGAGACTTTTAAAATTTTAGTTGCTCTTTGTGTCCTCTATACATTTGACAATTGACTTAGGTTAAAAATACTAGGAAGCAATCTCTCTGCCAAACATCATTGTCAAACTAAAGACTCAAACACAACTGTATTCCAGCATCAGCTCAAATATTCTAGGGTGTGAATGACTGGTACACTGTTTCCTAACAAACAATAGCAAAATGCTGTGTCTTTTAACAGCAAATAGTGCTTATTAAAACTGATAACAACAAAGACATGTTTCTAATTTATGCTTTATGAGTACATAATATAAAACAGAACTTAGTTTGAACGCAGCTGTTGCCACTTACTAGCTATGTGGTCTGGGTAACCTATTTAATATTTCTGAACCTCAGTTTACTCATCTATAAAAGGGGAATAATACCAACAGTCACAATATTGCTACAAAAAGTAAATTAGACAAATTATGTAAAATGCTTATTATAGTGACTTAGCATATATTATATTTGGCATATAATATATTTGGCATAATAGCCAAATAAATTATAGATACTGTTGCTTTGTTATTATTATCATAAACTGCTTTGCAGAGTGTCTTTACAGTTGGTAAAACATGATCATGGATAACATACCATGTTTATTTTTCTCACATTTAAACCTTGCAAGTTAAAAAGACAATAGAACATTCCCAATTATAAATGGTTTACTCACCTACCTTTCCCAAATTGTACTGTATCCATTATCCCATTTTTCACAAAGACATAAACACCCTAAGCAAAAAAGAGGAAAAGGGCATATGTATTTTTGAAAATGTTGATAATTAGATCAGAGTCGACATCTCTGAGATTCTATTAAAATGTTGACTTAACGTTGCACCCAAATCTAAATCTAACTGTACTAGATAGTCACTATGAGAATATTTTTTGAACTTAACTTCTCTTCACTTTTTGCTTTTCATTCTATTTAACATTGATAATACTTGTACACTATTTTCCTCATATTAAATAAGTAAAGTGCTGCCTATAAAATAATCAGAGTAGCTCATATAAAACTTATTGCAGAAATACAAAACAATGATCATCTCATTTTTATAATGGCCTAGAAAATTGAATGCAATTTAAATAAAGCATAAAGAGAGGTATATTTCAGCTTAGAAGCAACATCTGATTAATAAAGATGCACCAGCAACAACACAATGATTTGTGGAGAAAACAACAAAAAGCCTAAAGAAAAGTACTTCATCTTCTGTCCTTTTTAAGTGTGCATTAGAATGAGAAAAATCTAATTAAGACATTTATCTCCGGATAGAAATCATCCTATAACGGTTAGTGTCCATCTTGTTTTTAAATAGCAACATAAATTTTCTATAAATCAAGATTGATTAACCCATGGAGGGATTAAAGCTTCAAATCAAATTGTTCCTTTTACCTGTTTCCAACTAATTTATTTTAATGCAAGAAATATTGTTACACACATTTATTAAGTGATAGGTACTATCTCAATTACATCCGAAGAAAAATGAAGGTATGAAATGATTTTTCCATAGTAATTGCCCATAGTCACACTGTACTGCATTGAAGGAACCAAAAAACACAATATAAAGATACGGTCTCCGTCTTTAAAATAGCTGCTATCAAACCATGGGATAAAAACAATAAAAGAGATTTGCAAAGCAAAGAAAATAGAAATTAGTATATTAGATGGGAAAGGGATAAGTTATTGCTATTGAAATATCTTGGTATTAGTAACTTTGTCTCAGATATTTTCATGGCACTCAGAGAGGCACAGGTTCATTCTGTTCACCATGGTTTCAAGCTGTACAAACCAACATAGACCCTAACTGCCACGGAGCTACCTCTCTTTAGGGACTGTGTCTTGAGAAAATGTCACCTTCATATGATAACCTATTGACCAGTTGACTGGGAAATCATGTAGCTGTTGAAGAAGCAAACTAGTCACTTCTTTTAGAACATTTTCCTTAGCTGCGCTTAGGAATTCATTCTTACCACTGGGGGTCACTGCTATCTAAATTTCCAAACATCATCAAAGAGTAGGAGTAGAAATTGAATTTGCCCTACATGATTCTAAGTTTAATGCAGAATGTAATTTGAGTCAGAAGTAAGTTTTAAAGAATATATTCCATTTTTAGAGAAAAATTAGAGAAGAAACATTGCTTACATTGAAAATGAAATGCATCCAAAATTGACCTTCTTCAACCTAATTGTTTCAGCATATTAACAGAATATAAAGTTCTTTCAGTCTTAAATTGGGTGATAGTTATAATAGCTATTTAAGTATTTTTTAAGAACAATTTACCTCACTGAAAAAAACAACTTTGAGAACAGTAGAGAATAATAGGTATCAGGAGACTAAAGTGTGAATCACCCAGCTGATGGCATGATTCAGACCCTAATTACTTAAGATATTTCCTTCGGAGATTAAACCATTAAGAGTGTATAGTACACCTAGTACTATTAGAATTATTTGACAGGCAAACTTTTTAAAAAATAACACCATATATTCATTAGATGTTTTAAATATCATCTGGAATGACCACAGTTCACAGATTTGGTATTTCAATCAGATCATTAGAATTTTCTTTTTATGTGGAATCTAATGAACAAAGTAAACTGGTGAACAAAACAGATCCAGAGCCATGGAAGCAGGGAACAGACTGAGGAATCTCAGAGGGAAGGGGGACAAGGGGGAGAGGAAGAAATAAACCAAAGAACGTATATGCATATATGCACAACCAATGGTGCAATAGTGCGGCGAAGGCCAGGGGCAACAGGGTGGAGGGAGTCAATGAGGGAAAAAAGGGGGACATCTGTAATACTCTCAACAATAAAGATAATTTAAAAAGGAATGAATTAGAAACAAAACCCACAGAAGTTCACAATTGGCTAGATTTGGAGCAAATCTGTGTAGCTATTAGGTCAGAATGATAAAAACAATGGTACCGGCGTTATCATTATGACCCCAACATTGCAGATTATGATGCTAACACACCTATGTTGCTGCAATAATAATGAAACATCAGTATTGAATCAGCTTATTGGACCCCTCTGCTGCTAAAACTGATTGAAAGCTATGTATTAAAATAAGGTGAATTCTACTGCCCAATAGCTGACTGTAGTCAAATTGGTCTTATGAGCTAAACAAAACAAGTGAAATAAGTGCTTAGTCAAATAAGAAACAATTAAGAAGTAATATCAGAACTTCATGCAACAGGCCAAACATGCTAGGTGACATAAATGCTTGTGGAAGTACTTTAATCTATGAAGTAGTGCTACAGTAGAATAAATACGGCCACAAATGATTTGTTGTTACTTGTATTGAGGGGTGGCAGTTTTCCCCTCTTCCTTTAAAACTGGATTGGTCTTAGTGACTTAACTATGTGATGCTGTAGAATTCACTTTCTTGAATATCTGAGGATACGTAAGAAACATGGCAAATTCTGCCCAGGGCCTCTTATAACATCTTCTATAAGAGCCCTGAACTGCCTGTAAGTTATCTCGCCACCTTGCCTGAGAGGCCGTGTGTGGGTGCTTTAGTCAACATTCCCGGCTGAGCGCAGCCTTCTAGCATCTGTGACAAGTTGCCAGACATGAGAATGAAGCTGTCTTGGACCTTCTAGATCAGCCCATTCCCCTGATGAATACCAGAGTGACCCACATGCATGAGAAGAATCATCTGTCTGAACTCTAATTCCTGATTTACATGAAATATAATAGAATGGTTGTTTTAAACCACTAGGTTTGGGGGTAGTTTGTTACACATTGATGGGTAACTGGAACAACTGGTATGTAATACAAATGAGAAGCCTCCAATGTTAAACAACTATTAGAACAGACTTACCTTGCACCAGCCAATGTAACGACCAGTTGTAGTGCGGATGGAGGCAAAGCGCATTTGTAAATTACCAGGCTGTTCTTCAACATATTTAGACTGGAGAGGTGGTGCAGTATATATAGGGAGCTAGAGGGGGAAAAAATCATTTCATGTAAAAAATATAAAAGAGTTGAAATTACTTTTCCAACAGTATGGCAGAATAGTAATCCTCATCAACATTCCTGCTAAAAATAATTAAAAATACAAAATATATATATACATATTTATATATGAATATATAAAAATATATATACATATAAAATTGGGTTTATAGGGGTGACATTGGTTAATAAAATTATATAGGTTTCAGGTGTACAATCTATAACATATCATCTGTATATTGTATTGTGTGTTCACCACCCCAAGTCAAGTCTCCTTCCATCACCATTCATCCTCTCTTTACCCTCTTCTACCCTGCCCCAACTTCCCCTCTGGTAATCACCATACTGTTGTCTGTGTCTATGAGTTTTTGTTTGTTTGTTTGTTTTGTTTTGTTTTGCCTAATCTCTTCATTTTTTTTCATGCAGCTCCCCAACCCTCCCTCCCTGATAACTGTCAGTCTGTTCTCTGTCTCTATGAGTCTGTTTCTATTTAGTTAGTTTATTTTGTTCATTACATTCCACATATGAATAAATTCAAGTGGTACTTGTCGTTCTCAGACTAGCTTATTTCACTCACCATAATAATTTGCAGGTCCATCCAAGTTGTTGTAAAGGGTAAGATAGCCTTCTTTTTAATGGCTGAGCAGTATTTCATTGTATAAATGTACCAAAGTTTATATCCACTCATCTACTGATGGACACATGGGCTGCTTCCAAATCTTGGTTATTGTAAATAATGCTGCAATCAACATAGAGGTGGATGTATTCTTTCAAATTAGTGTTTAGGTTTCTTCAAATATATTCCCAGAAGTGAAAAAATGGGCTGTAAGGCAGTTTCATTTTTACATTTTTGAGGAAACTCCATACTGCTTTCCACAGTGGCTGCACCAGTCTGCATTCCCACCAGCAGTGTACTAGGGTTCCCTTTCGTCCACATCCTCGTCAACACTTGTTGTTTGTTGATTTATTGATGGTAGCCATTCTGACAGGTGTGAATTGATATTTCACTGTGGTTTTAATTTGCATCTCTCTGATGATTAAAGATGTTAAGCTTCTCTTCATATGACTATTGGCAATATGTTTGTCCTCTTGGAGAAGTGTCTATTCAGGTCCTTTGCACACTTTTTTTTTTTTTTTTGGTATATGCCCCTAGTGGGAACTGAACCTGGGACTCTCTGGTCTGCAGGCCGACACTTCAACCACTGAGCCAAACCAGCCAGGGCTCTTTGCCCATTTTTTAACTGGAACTGTTTCTGGTGTTGAGTTGTATAATAAGTTCTTTATGAATTTTGGAAATTAACCTTTCATCAGATGTATCACTGGCAAATATGTTCTCCCATTCAGTTGTCTTTTCATTTTGTTGATGGTTTACTTTGCTGTGCAAAACCTTGTTAGTTTGATGTAGTTCCATTTGTTTATATTTCACTTGTTTCTCATGCTGGAGGCAATATATCACAAAAAAATACTGCTGCAAGAAATGTATGAGATTTTACTGCGTGTTTTCTTCCAGGATTTTTATGGTTTCAAGTATTTAATCCATTTTGAGTTTATCTTGTATATTATGGTATAAATGCATCCTCAGAATAAATCCGACTTGATTATGAAATATGACCTTTTTAATGTATTACCTGATCCAATTTGCTAATATTTTGTTGAAGATTTTAGCGTCTATGTTCACCAGAGATGTCGGCCTGGAAAAATGAGCTTGGAAGTCTACACTCCTCTTGAATTTTTTGAAATCTGTCTAGATTATCTGATTCTTCCTGATTCTGTTTTGGAAGATTGTATGTTTCTAGGAATGAATCCATTTCATCTTGATTGTCTAATTTGTTGGCCAATAGTTCTTTGGTGTAAGTTATTTCTCCACTTTCATTTCTGATTTTATTTGGGTCCTATCCCTTTTTTCTTGATGAGTCTGGTTAAAGGCTTTTCATTTTTGCTTATGTATTGCAAGTACCAGCTCTTGGTTTCATTGATCTATTGCATTAACTTTTTTAGACTCTATTTTGTTTATTTCTCCCCTAATCTTTATAATTTCCTCTCTTCTACTCATGTTGGGCTTCGTTTATTGTTCTTTTTCAATTTCCTATAAGTGTAAATTTAGATTATTTACTTGATATTTTTCCGTATTTCTTGAGATAGGCCAGTAACGCTATGAATTTCCCTCGTAGGACTGTTTCCGCTGTGTCCCATGAATTTGGCGTTGTTGTGTTCTCATTTCCATTTGTTTCATGGTACCTTTGATTTGTTCTTTGATCTCACTGTTAACCCATTCATTGTTTTATAACATTTTATTTAGCCTCCATGTCTCTATGTGTTTTTCAATTTTTTTGTGTGATTATGATTGATTTCTACTTTTGTACCATTATGGTCAGAAAAAATACTTGATATGATTTGAATCTTAAATTTATTGAGACTTGTTTTATGTCAGAACATGTGGTCTATCCTAGAAAGTGTTCCATGTGTCCTTGAAAATAAATGTATATTCTGCTGCTTTGGGGTGAACTGTTTTGAAGATATCAATTATGTCCATTTGATCTAGTGTGTCATTTAAGGCCACTATTTCCTTGTCCATTTTCTGTCTGGAATATCTATTGATGTCAATGGGGTGTGAAAAATCCACTATTATGACTGTATTACTGTTAATGTCTCTCTTTATGTCCATTAAGATTTGTTTTACATGTTTTGGTGGTCCTATGTTTGTTGCATAAGTATTTGCAAGGGTTATATCCTCTTGTTGGCTTGTTCCTTTTACTATTACATAGTGTCCTTCTTTGTCTGTTATTCTAGCCTTTGTTCTACAGTCTATTTTGTCAAATAAAAGTATTGCTACCTAAGTTTTTTTGTCCTTCCCATTTGCATGAAATATATTTTCCATCCCTTTACTTTTAGTTTGTGTGTATTTTCTGTTCTGAGGGCCTTTTGTAGACAGCACATATATAGGTCTAGCTTTCTTATCTATTCAGTTACTCTATGTCTTTTGCTCGGAACATTTAAACCATTCAAATTTAAATGGATTATTTATAGGTACATATTTATTAACATGTTTTTCCTTTAACTATGTTCCTCCGTTTTCTTCTTCTTCAAGAAGGCCCTTAAACATTTCTTTGTTGCTGTTGAAAGTCTGCATGTTTATTTTCTCTCTTTTTCTATTTTAATTGTTGATACCATTACAGAAGTTTCCATTTTCTCCCCCTTTCCCCCTCTCTACCCAGTCCCTGCCCCAATTCCCTCTGGCCTTTACCACACTACTGTCTGTGTCCGTGGGTTATGCACATATGTTCTTTCACTAATCCCTTCACCTTCTTTTAACTGGTTCCTGCTCCCTCCTCCCCTGACAGCTGTCAGACTGTTCTACATACCCAAGCCTCTGTTTCTATTTTGTTAGTCACACTATTTTGCTCATTAGATTCCACATATATATGAGAACATATTGTATTTGTCTTTCTCTGACTACTACTGGTTTGGTGGTAACAAACTCCTTTAGCTTGTTCTTGTCTGGAAAACTCTTTATTTCTCCTTCAATTTTAAATGATACCCTTGCCCTGGCCGGTTTGGCTCAGCGGTTGGAGCGTCGACCTGCGGTCCTGAGAGACCCGGGTTTGGTTCCCGAAAAGGGCACGTACCTCGGTTGCAGTTTGTCCCCAACCCTGGTCGGTCGTGCAGGTGGCAACCACTCGATGTGTCCCTTTCACATCGATGTTTCTCTCTCTCTCTCTGTTCCTCTCTCTCCCTCCCACTCTACCTGAACAAAAAATGGAAAAATGTCCTCCGGTGAGGATAAAAAGATAAAAAAATAAAAAAAATAAATTATACCCTTGCTGTGTAAAATAGTCTTGGTTTTATGTTCTTGCTTTTCATCACTGTGAATATTTCATACCAATTCCTTCTGGTCTGAAATGTTTCTGTTGAGAAATCAGCTTATGATCTTATGGTAGCTCCCTTGTAGATAACTAACTGTCTTGTGGCTTTTAGGATTCTCTCTCTGTCTTTAACCTTTGTCACTTTAATAATGATTTGTCTTGGTGTGGACCTCTTTGGGCCCATCTTGTTTGAGACTCTCTGTGCTTCCTGGATTTGTATGTCCTTTTCCTTCACCAGATTAGGAATGTTTTTGGTCATTATTTTTTTCAAATAGGTTCTTAATCCCTTGCTCTTTCTCTTCTTCTTATGGTACCCGTATGATGCAGATGTTGTTACGCTTCATACTGTCCCAAAAGTCCCTTAAACTATCACATTTTTTTAAATATTTTTTTTTCTTTTTGGTGCTTTGATTGGGTATTTTTTCTGCCTTGTCTTCCAAATCACTGATTTAATCCTCTGTTTCATCCAAATTCTGTTTATTCCTTCTAGTGCATGCCTCATTTTAGAAACAGTATTCTTTATTTCTGACTGGTTGTATTTTTTATTGTTTGTATGTCTTTTTTCATGCTGTTGTAGTTCTCACTAGATACCTTGTAGTTCTAAGTTCCTTGAGCATCCTTATAAGCATTTTCTGATCTCTGTATCTGATAAGTTGTTTGCCTCCATTTCATTTAACTCTCTTTTAGGAGATTTCTCCTGTTCTCTCATTTAGGGCCTGTTTCTTTGCAGCCTAGTTTTGGCTGCATGTTTGTGTTTGTTTCTATGTATTAGATGGATCAGCCATGACTCTCAGTCTTGGTATGGTGGCCTTTTGTAGTAGGTGTCCTGTGGGGTCCAGTAGTGCAGGCACATTGATCACTTTAGGTGGTTGCTCCAGGAATGTTGCTTATATGGGTTATGTGGGCCCTCTTTTTGCAGTTGAGTCTTGATTGCTATTGGCCAATTCATGTATGGGATCAACCCTCAGGATGGCTGACTAAGAGGCTCAACCCCAACCATGGTGTGTGAGCTGCTGTTCAGGAGCAGACCACACAATGCAGAATTCACCTCAGCTGGGTCTGGTGACTGTCGAAATCTCCCTTTGGATATGCCACCTGGGATGCTTATTGGGTCCTGTTCTGACGTTGTCTGAAGCTGGCCACTGGGTGTGTTGGTTCTGGGCCTCTGGGAGGGACTCTGGTTCAGGCAGATGTCAGGTGATACTTGGGACTGGCCCCAGGCAACTAGATTGGAGATACAAAGCAGTCCATGGTTTGTGGCTGCCTCTGTTAGGCCTGGGTGTGCACAGGAATAACCAAGTTGTGCCCCAAGGCTGGCTACTACCAGCACTGGGCCTGGGTGCAGGTCAGCAAAACCCCAAGTCACAATGATATTTGTTTCCCCGTCTCTGCCTGCCAGCAACATGTTAGGCTCAGTCACTGAAAAAGCCTCCGGTGGTACCCCAGTTACATGAGGTAGGTTCTCAGTCAGTCACCAGGTAGGGGTCAATGGTGTTCACCAGATAGTTACAGGTTCAAATTCGGTGCCAGTGCTGGGTCTAAGGCCACTCAGCAAAAGTTCCAGGGTATACCAAGTCTTATGCACTGAAAATTATAAGACAGCAATAAATAATTAAAGACAAAGACAACAGTGTGGTGATTATCAGAAGGAAAGGCTGGAGGGAGGAGGTAGAAGAAGGTGAAGTGGGGGATAAATGATGACGGAAGGAGACTTGACTTGGGGTGGTGAACATGCAATACAATATACAGATGATGTATTATAGAATTGTACACCTGAAACCTATATAATTTTATTAACCAATGTTACCTCAATAAATGCAATTAAAAAACATAAA